GTAGCGAGGGTACAACATTTGCCTTACTCATTTAAGCAGATTTCCGTGTATTTTTTTACTACATTTTTTATTATTTGTTGCCAGACTCAACCCATAACAGCTCGTACCTTGGAGACATTGATTCGATTGTCTACCGCACACGCAAAGGCTCGTTTATCAAAGAATGTTGTTGCTGAAGATGCTCATGCAGCAATAGAACTAGTAGAATTTGCTTATTTTAAGCGAGTACTTGAAAAAGATAAGAAAAAACGAAGTCGGAATGACAGCGAAGAAAGTGTACCTGGAGAGAGTCAGGTTGAAAAGAAAAAGAAACGTATGAGAAAGGAAATGACAGGCGATCAAGATCCATATGATTTTGAAAGTGACGATGATGATAGTCATATTGATGTAACCGCTAGAAGAATCACGAGATCTAGAGCGAAGACGACTGATTCGACTTCAACAAGTCGATCCGATCAACCATCAGCATCAGATTCTGATAAAACCGTAATACCTGATACACCCGCGACTATCACTGATGATAGGTATGTGTACATTTTTCTCAAAATTCTATTGGTATCCAAGATATTAAAATTTTTTATTTTATCTTTTTTTCAGGTTGAAAATTTTCAGAACACTTCTTCATAAGTTGTTCCAACAACAAAGGGCACAATCACTCTCATTATCGAGAGTAAGAGAATATATTAACAGTCAACAGACTCAAGAATTCACTTCAGGTGAAATCACTGCCGCAATTAATAAGATGTCCGACGCTAATCAAATTATGGCCGCAGATGATAATATTTTCCTTATGTAAATTGTATTTGATTGTGTAAGTAATTTTGCATTTAAAAAATTTTTAACTTAACTATAAATTTATTACGAAATGTTAGATATTTTCGAATATTTTAATGGTCATCCACATTCCAATAAATTGCTCCTCTAGATTTTTAAAGTTTTTCATTATGCGTATTTAATAGATTTTATACCATTGACAACTTTACTAAAATAAGACAGTCTGATATGGTTGGAAATAATTATATCTATCAACATTTATTATCTCTCCATATTACAGTACAGCACATTGGCACATAAACTAGCAACAGTGATCAACATTCATTACATTATTGTAAACAATATTTTTACAATGTCTCTAAGTCTTTTTGTTTTATATAAACAAACATAGATATAAATAGTGCTGTCTCATTTAAATATATATCTAACGTTTAGGCATTTTTTTACATATAACTTGATCTATCCGCATTTCCATACCGTTAAAAAAATGCTTAACTTTGTAATATCGTTTATTTTCACCGTATACTAGCCTGGTTCAATTTTTAATGATTAACTTAAATGTATGGTACTTTTGTAACTGATCGATCGAATTATAAAAAAACTTGCTATCTAACATTAAATTTTATGCAAGCAAATTGTTTAAAATTAAATTATGCTCACTTGTATTTTTGTATGTTTAAAATGGCGTTTAGTTTGAACATACGTTAATGATGATATTGTAATTTGATATATTCCTTTTTTTATACGAATATTTTGTATGATTAAATTATTCTCGTTTTCAAAGTTTTTACCATATGTATCTATTACCCATAACAAAAATTCTACACCATTTAATAATTAGCTGTAGCAATAATTAAATTTGCTACTTTCTTATTGTTATAATACAGGCCTTCAGGACGTAATGTTTCTATTGTAAATGAATGAATTTCTCGTTTAATTGTTTTCGTTCACGTTAGACGTATCAAATTAGAGCAAAAATCGTCACTCGTTTTCATTGTACACATAGTTGCCTCCGACAACGTTAATTTGATTAATCTTAATTAGCACTTCCATGGCTTAACGTTTCTTATCGGTATAAAACCTACTGTACCTAATTCTATGATTCTATACAAATTTTCACATTTCAAAGCCAAT